TAGAAAAGAAATCAGGAAATCGACTGTCTAAACTCGAATTCCACCTTTAGTTCTTCGTCCCCATAAAAATCCTGCAAATTGATTCGTCGTACACGTTTTTTACACATCCTGTCACTTATTTACAAACGATATTTATTCACCAGTTGTCGACATTCATCGAGAAAAGGGTTCGCGATCCCCGCAGCTGTGAGTTTTTCAATTTCACACTACGACGGACAGATGAAATCACGTGATTTCGAATAAAGTAAACCGAGCAAAAGGGGGAAACACCCTCGACAATACTGCCGAGTGTACAGAGAGCTGTTAAATTTTTCATTTTCACTGAGGGAAACTGGAAGATGACGAAAAAAGAGAGAGAGAGAGAGAGAGAGAGAGAGAGAGAGAGGAAGAACGAAGTTCGTGGTTGCTTAGTGATTTAATTAAATTGGACACAACGGGCGTTCGCCGCTTCAAGCTTGACTTCCGGCGACGCTGATTTCCGTAAAACTCGAGTTTCCTCTGTGCAAGAGAATCGCGATATAACTTCAGCCGCAACGTTCACGCCACTGCTAATTTTCTCACTGCACAGGTATAACGTTTCGTGTAAATTGCGAGCTCGAAACACTTTGTATGCGGTTAACAATACCTGCGAGGCAAGGAAAGAACAGGTAGAAATAACCAGACACGAGATAGGTCACTTTGATGTTACACTTTCACACCTTATCGAAAAACTGAACGCGGAATCATTATCGAACTTTGCTACTGTTCCAAATTCGAAGACACTCGAATAATCGTACAAATAATATTGTTACTGCTTCATTATTTATAAGGTACGTGCAAATGCAGTTATTAATACCTTGACAGAGGATGTAACGTTAAAGAGTAAATAAAAAAAAAAAAAATGTTTATGAAGATTTCAGTGAAAGTGTTCCTTTTTGTGGAACACAGATTGCACTCTTTATCTCTTGGAAAACGAAAGAGGAAAATGTAGGGAAGTATTTGAAACGGATCGATATGTGAAGTGTGCGGCTGAATGAGTTATGCGAGTTGGCTGCGAATGGTTCGAATATTAATTTTTCTATACGTGCTATAAAAGCACGCGACTTGTCCTAACGTCATACCGTAAGTTCGTGTAGAATTTGATAATTTTCATTAATATTTCCAACGAACCTTCAAATTTGACTAAAAAAAAAAAAAAACGTAAGCACCTTCTCATTTCTCAAATTTTTTCTTTTTTCCGGTAAAATCATTATGTCGTTGTTACAGTATTTTCGTTCAAATATTTCTCTACGATCTAATATCAGGTATACGAATTAATTTAACGCCTTTTTTTTCACGAATTTCGATGTTTATTTGCAAACGATCTAACACAATTTTAATGTTCGAAATGATCTCCATTATTTTGGGTTTATCGAGTAACTGAGAAATTCTCTCTCTAAAAGCAAAAAAATAGCAGGTTTTAGTCGATGAAGCCGTCAAAACTTTGCGAGAAACGACACCGAATTAATTTATACACCTACGCTATTGCGCTATATTGTTGTACAATTCTTTTACAATTCACTTCTGCTTCTCCCGTTAAAATGTAAAGTCGCAATAATAGTTTTTCTTTTCACGAACAGAGAAGAAATCTGATTACAGGAATTAAGATTCCTGATTTGTTTAATAAGAATATAAACGACTCTGTCGGATAATAGACGTGTGAAAAGGATCGAAGATAAAACGTGTGACACAGTTAATTATACGTATACACACAGCGTGAAACTGCAGCTGTGTAGCTCGCAGAGACACGCTTCTCGTTTCATTTTTCTCCCAAGCTGAACTGTTCGTTGTGTACTTGAATTCGGTGCACTAGCTTCTTGTATGCAGCGGCACTTAATTCACACGAACGAATATGCTAAGTATAATCGAAAACGCGTTGCTCGATGTATTCCCTACAAGACTATAATCGCGCAGTATAAGCGACGTTCGTCGAGGCACTCGTTCGACAGCCACGTAAACACCGACTGAGGACGAGTCGTCCTACCCGATTTCTGATCGCTGTACGCTCGCAACTGTTCTGGGAAAAATTCTAGGCCTTAACTTCGAACTCGTGACATTTCTTGCGAGCCAAACATAACAATCGCGAGCCTAGGTCGCTGTACATACATCGAGCCAAACATAAAGCTAGCTGTCTGTTCGCGCACAGAAAAGAGTTAGCGGGAAAAGAATTTTCTGATTTTATATCACTTTCACTGGCAAAACCGAGAACAAACGCCACGCACGTGGTCTTAATACAATACAATACGCCATACTTTTTTTCGCTTGGCGCATGCGCGGTCGCCACTCCCAGCGCTGCTCAGCCGACGCATGCGCGGTCGCTGATCGGCGGACGCACGCCGATCACGGTAAAAAGACGCGCCCCTTTTAAATTCAAACCGTTACACTGTCCTTTTGAGAGTAAAACTATCGCGAGCTGCTCTCGAGAGTATCTCTCGCGAGTGGACACTGCGTCTGAGAGTGACTGTCTGGGAGCACCGCTCAACTCTCTGAGAGTTACGACTCGAATAAACAGTTGCTTTGCAAACACCAAGCAGTTTCGTATTCTTGACAGAACTCTCGTGCGAGTAAAAAATGTCAGGAGAAAAAATTAGTGGAGATATGAAATCACCGATTTAATCACTCTCTATGAAGAAAAATCAGTGTTGTGGAATACGAAAGATAAAGTATAAAGCAGTGATTTTTATACGTTTTTTAAATGACTTTGTTCGCACCTCGTTGGACTCGTCTTAACATACACTATCATATTATGTATAAAAAAATATAGCATTCCATTTAAAAAAATTAAACTGACTTTGAAATCTCCCCCACCATACCCGGTACAAAAAAAATATTTATACCACATAATGTCCCCCTCCGTACCAAATAATTTTTGTTAAAACAGTTTTTTCCTAACATCACTTCCTTAAAAGATATTTCGCTACATTGAGATAAAACAGACACCCTGTATAATAATAATGTCTGGCAAAATCTAACTCTGTGATGTGTTATGTCATCGTACAATCAATTAATTATATAACACGAAACAATACGAAAGGTGTAGCGATATGGAGTAATAATTATAGTTTAGAACCGCTCGTACCCAGATATTTCATTGCATAATTCATTACGCGCGACATAAGGATTAATTACGTAAGATGATACTTTAAATTTACGTCTTAATTTCGACGTACACAAAGTGTCCCGCGAAAAGTATGATTCTTCGTGTAAAAAAATATATAAAATAACATTTTTCCAAGTCTTTCAGAATTTTTATTCAAAAATTTGTCGCATCGATTTATAATCTATTGGAAATGCAAAAAGCAGCTGTCTCTTTAAATAAAAATAAACAAACGTGGGATAGAATTTATTCGAAATATAGTATTTCGTTAATTACGAAATTTCTTTTACCTCTGAATTATTCATTATTTCTAGAAAGTTTCAAATTGTTGTTTCCAAGAGAAATTATTTCGCCACGAAGAATCACACTCTGATCGTTAGTGCTACATTTCAGGACACCCGGTACACACTCGAAGCCACGAAATAAATTATAAAACGATCGTATTATCCTAACAACCCTTATCATCGGAAAATCCTCGAAAAATCGACGCACACTTCGGGGCTGGAAATTTGATAACTGCTTCTCAAACCTTTCCCCTTTAATCCATTGACCCAAATACCGGCCAATCTTTTCCTACTTTGCTCAATTGAGTTTCGAAGAATCGAATTATTTCGGTCTCGAACGAAAAGATCTAACCCTAACTTTAATTTATCGATTCGTCGAAATAAGATACTCTTTTTTTTCTTCTGCAGTCTGACCCGTAATTGTACTGTTTCAAGAACGAAACGGCGGAGAGAAATGCAAATCTGCAAAAAAAATACTTCTTTCGAGAAGAATATTGGCTTTGATGTTGGAGAGAACGAATCATGTAACTTTCAGTAAACGCGGCTATTAATTACGTACATGCTTAGTTATTTCATAAAACGCACGTTAATTAGTTTTGCTTGAAATTCCCTCGTACACGTTTTCCCGTGTGTTATCGTATAAACGCATTTTTAATTTTCCGTGTAATCGCGTGTACGCGGCCATTAACATAGCGGAAACAGATTTTCTTGAAATTTCATAGCGTAGCTGCTGTAAGTTGTTCGAAGCTGTTGGTTGAACCGAGTTTCTATCAGACTAATACAATAATTTTACCTTAAAATTCCTCCTTCTCCCTTTACGTCTGGTTAGAGGATGGAAAATCTGAAGAAATTTCAACGTGTAAACGGAATTGGAGAAAAATTCAGCGAGTGAAAAATTGTTTACTTCAGGGCTTCGCGTAAATTGGTAGATCGTATCAGATCGCTTTTTGCGTACTGCATTCTATGTATCCGCTATTAATCAAACTACGAAGATACGTACGAACGAGATATTGTTGTGATTTAGGAGGGATTTTAATGTTCACGTAACGAACGTGAGTTACTGACAAACAAACAAAGATAACACTTACATATAAACTCGTTTCATACGTATATACTAATCCTAGTATCTACACTGTTCTTTTTCTAA